GTCGTCGACATCCATCGCAGTGTCGGCGACGGCGGCGGCTTCCTCATCGCTGAGGGACTCGGGCTGCACGGGCTGTGCTTGGATCCGGGCTGGGAGGGACCAAGTGGTTAGTCTAAAGATCAATGAAATAAGACATAGGATCACACACCTGCGTGCGTCTTCTTGTGGACGCGCTTGGGAGGTGACCCCTGTGGAACAGGGACCGAGGTAGCGGCTACGACAAGTCAGTACCCGCGACTCTGGTGAATGAAAGGAAAGAGCCACTTACGAGTAGGCGCGTGGGACGACGCCTTGGGCTCCTTTGCAGGAGTCGCCTTGGGTCGCTTCCCCTGCGACTTCTCGCTCGACTTCTTGGCGACGGCGACCTTGCTGCCCGCGACGGCGGCAGGGGCCTGCGGCTTGGAGCCGTCACCCTTCCCCTTCTGCTTGACAGGCCGGGACGACGAAGGGGCGGCGACTTGTTCGGTTGGAGCCGCCTGGGGGTCGATCAGAACATAGTAAACGAATGAAACAGAGTACGCGTACGGGTTCGACGACTCGTTTGCGTTTCTTCGGTGGCGACGACTCCTCGACTGGAGCGTTGGTGGTCAAAAGCGCAGGCGCCGGCTAGCCCTTACGTTAGTGAAAAGAATGGAAGGCCAAAGCGAACAGGCGCGGCAATCATTGATCGCCGTGACTGCTCGCTCCAGCGGGCTTAGAACGGAGCTCACCTGCTGGATCTGGCGGACGTCGACGGCCATCTGCCGCAACATCTGGTTGTAGGCCTCGGGGCTAGGCAGGTGGTGAGTTGGATCGACAAGCCATGAGAGAGACATTGACTGACGGCATGAACTGCCGCCAGTCGATGGCAGGCGGGTTTGCTCCCGGGACAGCTGATTCGGTGACGGCTGATGGACGGTTAGCGTGGTTGAAAAGTCGCGGTAATCGTCTTGGGCGTCACTCACGGTTGGTGTCTTGGGGGCGGGGGCTCTGGTCGGGCGCGGGCATGGTGGTTGAAAAGCAAGAGTGTCTCGTACTAGGGAGACTCTCGACCCTGAAAATTGAGGGCATTTATATGGTGAACATGCCGGAAGAAGTTTGATCGCGGCAGATCACGGAAGGAACCGAACAACCAAATGAATAAGACGTGGGAACATAACTCTATGTCTCCGCGGCTTTAATAATAAATGAATGAGACGTCGACTGTTGGACTTAGACCTGACGCAGTGAGACTGTCGCGGGATTGACCAGGAGGTCAAAATTAGTGTTCCTGGGAGATGATAGGCTGGCTACCAGACGCGCTCTGCACCAGCTCTGTAAGGGCGTATTTTTGCGCTTTTACAGAGTTTACTCTTGAACCACTCGGTGTATCGTGTCGCGGTTGACAGTGTTGCGCTCAGTAGGACTTATGGGTCTACTGCCCAGTCGACGACTGTGGGTAGTGTCGACGATAGCAAGGCAGTCAGACCACTACTGTGGAACTGGTCTTATGAGTCTACACCAGGCTCAGGGCCATTAGTGACGAACGCTTGGACCGCGACCATTCCCCACAAAGGGATCTGTCGTTGCGTCGACTTCTCAAAAAGGGTCATTCTCTGCAGATGGGAACTTGGGCTGAAGGGCTGAGCAATGCGCGACGTTCTCAATAATAGAACTACTACTGGACAGGACTTGGCGTTACGAGACTTAAACCATCTTGTCGCGGCAACTCCCAGTTTTGAGTTGGACGTTTCCTCAGATCATGCCACGACGACGACTTGTCACATGTCAGGATCCATTCAATCACGGGACATTGTGGACGCGTCGCGGTGACACTTCCAAGTGTCACGGCGAGTCGCGCCCATACCCAAACACACTAGAAACCGACACGGTAAGATCCGTGAACCGAACCATGTGGGGGACGACTGGCGTGCCTAGGGCCATACGGCTTCTTGGGGCGCCCACGTTGGTCTCACTTGCCAAGACATACCCGTTGGCCAATCCAGCACGTCGTATTCCAAAGTATGACGCGGTGGGTTGACCCACATCAAAAGTATCATATGGACAATGGGGCGGGGTCCTGATCACTCAGGACCTGTCCGATCGTTCAACTTTTCAATTACCCTAAAAGGCAACCGATCTTAGATAGCGTAGCTACTATGCAGTTGTACAGGACTTTACTAAGCATCGTCGTAGACAGTATAAGTAGCACAACGTTTCTTTGTATTAGGAAGCTTTCCCCTGGACTGTGAATCACTCTCATATCAGATTGTTTTGTACAATTTGCGTGCCGCGTGATTCCACCCTAAGAAGTTCTGCTACCCCTGCCCGGTCGCGACGAGTTGCTCCCTGAGCACTTGTAGCTACTGTGATTTGAGTTTTGAGTTGAGACATCAGAAAGTCGGATTCGCCGCATCTGGTTTAGTCGCGGCATTTAGTGTCGTCGCCTTCGGGCTTTGTTGAGATCGTTCCACACCTCTAGCTTGGCAGTGCGTCGACTAGTTGTGCTCGGGTTGTTTTGGTCAGTTGGCAGTGCGTCGACTTGAGAACTTTGGTTCCACACTTCTTGCTTGGCAGTGCGTCGACAAGTTGTGCTCGGGTTTTGGACATTGGATATTGGCTGTTAGTTGGCAGTGCGTCGACGCGGCATCTTGGTTTGCTAGTTGGCAGTGCGTCGACTCAGTACTTTTGGTTGTGTCAGTTGGCAGTGCGTCGACTTGACATTTTGGTTTACTAGTTGGCAGTGCGTCGACTCAGTATATTGGTTGCATCGGTTGGCAGTGCGTCAACTTGATATTTGGGCTTTGCGTCACCATCTGGACGCTGTCGCTACAAGGGATCTTAATACTTCGTATTAAGCTCTGACTTGTTATATTGTTGTTGTGGATTGGATTAGTGTTGATTGTGTTCGTATAGAAGATATTGGTTGAGATACCATTGTTTTGCTATATATATATATATCCTTGTCGTCGACTTCGTCTCCGCGACTATTGGATCTGCGTCTATTGAGAGTTGTGATACTGGTGCTCTGTCCACCCCGAAGCCCTCGCATCTTTCACACACTGAGAAACTGATTACGAGGAGTGTGAACGTGTTTATATTTGGGTATACTTTCATAGTAGATTCACTTGTGAGCGCGCCCTCAGCATTTCAACGGATATCAATTTCGGATTGTCATCTTGTTCAGCTTCCAATGATAGGCTGGCTACCAGACACGCTCTGCACCAGCTCTGTAAGGGCGTATTTTTGCGCTTTTTACAGAGTTTACTCTTGAACCACTCGGTGTATCGTGTCCCGGTTGACAGTGTTACGTTCAGTAGGGCATAAGGGTCTACTGTCCAGTCGACGACTGTGGATAGTGTCGACGATAGCAAGGCAGTCAGACCACTACTGTGGAATTGGTCTTATGAGTCTATACCAGGCTCAGGGCTATTAGTGACAAACGCTTGGACCGCGACCATTCCCCAAAAGGGGATCTTTGTTGCGGCGACTTCTCAAAAGGGTCATTCTCTGCAGATGGGAACTTGGGCTGAAGGGCTGAGCAATGCGCGATGTTCTCAATAATGCAACTACTACTGGACAGGACTTGGCGTTATGAGATTGAACCAATCTTGTCGCGGCAACTCCCGGTTTTGGGTTGGACGTTTCCTCAGATCATGCCACGGCGACGACTTGTCACATGTCAGGATCCATTCGATCACGGGACATTGTGGATGCGACGCGGTGACACTTCCAAGTGTCACGACAAGTCGCGCCCATACCCAAAATACCCTAAGACCGACACGGCTAGATCCGTGAACCGAACCATGTGAGGAACGACTGGCGTGCCTAGGACCATACAGCTTCTTGGGGCACCCACGTTGAACTCACCTGCCAAGACATACCCGTTGGCCAATCCAACACGTCGTATTCCAAAAGTATGACGCGGTGGGTTGACCCACATCAAAAGTATCATATGGACTATGGGGAGGGGTCCTGATCACTCAGGACCTGTCCGATCGTCCAACTTTTCAATTACTCTAAAAGGCAACCGATCTTAGATAGCGTAGCTATTATGCAGTTGTACAGGACTTTACTAAGCATCGTCGTAGACAGTATAAGTAGCACGTCGTTTCTTTGTATTAAAAAGCTTTTCCCCGGACTGTGAATCACTCTCATTTCAGATTGTTTTGTACAATTTGCATGTCGCGTGATTCCACCCTAAGAAGTTCTGCTACCCCTGCCCGGTCGCGACGAGTTGCTCCCTGAGCACTTGTAGCTACTGTGATTTGAGTTTGAGTTGAGATATCAGAAAGTCGGATTCGCCGCATCTGGTTTTAGTCGCGGCATTTAGTGTCATCGCCCTTTGGGCTTTGTTGAGATCGTTCCACACCTCTAGCTTGGCAGTGCGTCGACTAGTTGTGCTCGGGTTGTTTTGGTCAGTTGGCAGTGCGTCGACTTGAGAACTTTGGTTCCACACTTCTTGCTTGGCAGTGCGTCGACAAGTTGTGCTCGGGTTTTGGACATTGGATATTGGCTGTTAGTTGGCAGTGCGTCAACGCGGCATTCTGGTTTACTAGTTGGCAGTGCGTCGACTCAGTACTTTTGGTTGTGTCAGTTGGCAGTGCGTCGACTTGACATTTTGGTTTACTAGTTGGCAGTGCGTCGACTCAGTATATTGGTTGCATTGTTTGGCAGTGCGTCGACTTGATACTTGGGCTTTGCGTCACCATCTGGACGCTGTCGCTACAAGGGATCTTAATACTTCGTATTAAGTTCTGACTTGTTATATTGTTGGTTGTGGATTGGATTAGTGTTGGTTGTGTTCGTATAGAAGATATTGGTTGAGACACCATTGTTTACTATATATATATCCTTGTCGTCGACTTTGTCTTCCGCGACTATTGATCTGCGTCTATTGAGAGTTGTGATACTGGTGTTCTGTCCACCCCAAAGCCCTCGCATCTTTCACACACTGAGAAGCTGATTATGAGGAGTGTGAACGTGTTTATACTTGGGTTTACTTTCATAGTAGATTCACTTGTGAGCGCGCCCTCAGCATTTCACCGATAATCTTGGACGGGGCGTAGCAAGCCGTCCTTCTTTTTGACAAAGAAGAACGCTGAAGCCAGGGGTGATTTTGATAGCCTGATCCATCTGCTGGCTAGGTTCTCTTCTAGGAATTTGTCTAGTTTGACCTGCTCATTTCGTGATAGCGGGTAGACTTTGCAGTCCACTGCTTTGGAGCCGGGTTTGAGTTCGATTGCATGGTCCCATGCTCGTCGATCCGGCAGCGAGTCAAATGATTCCTTTGCGAAGACCTTGACAAACTCCTGGTATTGCTCCGGAATTTTCCCTTCAGTTGTTCGCTCCTTCTCCTTCTCCGCTTCTTCTGCAAATTTCTGCGCCGGTGTTTCTTTTAGCCGAAGATCCACCTCCTTCCCAAAGTCGACCAACAAGATCGATTCCCCTTCTTCCAGATCCGGTCTGTTTGTGTTCAGATCAATTGCATCCATATCGATCATTGCCTGGTGCTCCTCCTGACCCCTCATTTGACACCGCTCTGGGCATTGGCTGAATCTCATTGTCTGCTCCCGCCAGTCCACCTCGGGGTTGTGTTCCATCAGCCAATCCAGGCCGATGAAGATCCGAGCTTTCCCTAGACATGTCAGAAGGAACGTGCATGTCTCCACATGAGGACCAATTCTCATCCTCAGGTCGACGTAATGTGTGATCCGACCGTTGATGTTTTCGGTGTTGTTGGCATTGCAAGCTAGAATGGGCTGCGGGAGTTCCTGGATATCCAACTTCTCTGCCCGCGCGTAGTCGGTATCAATGCAACAGGTACTGCAGCCACTATCAAGCAGCGCCTTTACTCCGCGTGTCTTTCCCAAGTCCAGGCCCGTGATCTGGACATATACGTCCATCAAATGCCTCTTCCTTTGGGCCTGGTAGTTGCGCAATTCCTGTGCCAATCTGCTGGGCTGGGGGCCCTTCTGCTTCTTGGCCGCCAATTTCCTCTGGACAGCATCTGGCACCCTGGTGCGTTTGGGTGCTTCTGGAACCTTGATTTTGGCAGATTCCTTAGGTGCTTCCTCCTTTTCCAAGGATCAAGCCTCCAGAGCGATGCTCCCCTTTTCGGTCTTTGTTGACGTGGTTTCTTCTCCACGAGCCATAAATACGTAGGAGTCCAATAATTTGTCTGCAGCTTTCTGATCCTTTTTACTCTGTAAATACTCTCTATTTAAAGCTATTTTTCTTTGACGTTCCTTTCCCATATCAGCAATGAGAAAATCATGAATATTAGTACGTAGTGAGTCTGAGATCGTGTATGTATGAGGAGAATCGTTCATATCTTTAATCGAAACAAGTACAGGAAAACGTCCATAGTCCGGATGCTCCACCTCCTTGGCTAGAGGAGTGGAGCGCTTCAAAAACCCTTCTTGCGCAGCTTCTTGGCAATCTCCTTGAGGAACTCGTTGTCCTTGTCCCCGTTCTTGATCTCTTCTAGAATTGTGGCCCGATTGAAGAATGTGCGCTTCTTCCTTGGCTCCGGGCAGTTTTGCGCGATATGCCCAGGCTGCTGACAGTTGTAGCAGATGATGTTGCGGCCGCGGGCGTTGGTGCGGTCAATTTCCATCGGAACTGGTTCATTGGTGGCGGGTCGTGCCGGAGCAGGTGTAGGCATTGTTGGAGCTGCCTGCGGGCGGAATTGGGGAGGTGGTCGTGTTGTGGGATGCCCGTAGGATGCCTTGCGTAGCTGGTCATGCAGAGCATTGGCTTCGATGTTGATGCACCAGGCTTTGAACGCTCCATAGGCCTTGGGCAGAGGGACACCCATGTTGTAGAGGCGACTGGCAATCTTGCTGCTGAGTCCGCGCTCCAGGAACTCAATGAGGATCTTGTCTTGGTCCCCCTTCTTGTATTCGCCCTTGTCATTGGTGGTGTCGACCACATTGTATCCCGCATCCGCGGCCAACATCTCAAAGTCGGAGATGTAGTCTGCAAAGGACCGTTTGTTTTGGTGCAGGGCCATGAGTCGGGCGGCGGCAACTTGTTCCGCATTGGAGTCCCCAAAAGTCCTCTGCAGTGCTTCCAAGAAGGTCTTGGCCGTGATCCCTGCCTTCAGTCCCTGGAAGCCATCGAAGTTGTGCTGCTTCCAGTTCATTGCCCATCTTGAGGCGGCGCAGCTTGTGCCAGTTTCATTACAGAGGTAGGAAAGGACAAAAAGGATTTTTGTCTTGTCCAGTGCAAACTCCGATCAGTAGGCACCAATGTAAGTGGTACACGCGTCCACAAAGCCCAGATATTTGGACTTGTCCCCATTGAAGTAGGGGGGGTTGGCGGCGAGGGTGATGCGATGGTGACCTGACATGGTAGGAGCAGGTGTGGTGGATGGGGGTGGCTGTTTGGAGGGCAACTCGTCAAGGTTGGGGATCTCGTCTTCAGGCGGTGGGAGGGCAAGGTAGGGATTGGAGGGTCTGGGTTGGTTTTGATGCGCCAGATTGGGCGACAATGGTAGGATGGGAGGAGGGGACAGGCTCCCAGACAAGGATGGGAATCGGAACAAAATGGTGGATTTGTGTGCTGCGCAAGCACTCGAGGAGGGGTTCTCTTGCTAGCAAAAAGATCTCGGGCCTATCTCTTCATGTGCCCGATGATCCCGAGGTGCGTTTTCCCAAAGGTCTCCGCAGCACTCCTTGTAGCTACCGTAGGGCTTGGGTCAGGCTCAACGTTACCCGTAGCCTGGTGCAGTTTGCTCAATATGAACCCTTCTCTGCGATCACAGAGAACGACTAGATGATTTGGTAGAAAGATAAGTGAGTTGATAAGGATGAAGAGGATATAGCGGGCGTAGCGGTGAGGAATGCAGCGGTAAGAGGTATGAGGTAGGAGGGTATGAGGGGAGTCTTCGAATTATGTGACAATCAACCCAAAAACAAAGTCGAAAAGAGAAGTGAATTTGAAGACTGGAGAATACAACCACCAAGTAGCTACAGTATTTATACTCAAATCCAGTCTGAGTCATATCTACAACTAATGAGTCATGAGACTATGTACCGCATGGAACACTGGTCATGGGTTGTAGTAGAACCTTCCGGAGCATATGTCACGCAGCCTCGAATCAATAGAGATAATCCCTGGAACCCCTAGTCCGGACCGTCTGATGCCGTGATCCGTGATAAGATAATCCATGCCAAGATAAAATAAGATGGTCGATGATAAGATGAAAAAGTGGTCGAACTATGACACGGCAATCTTGTGTTCTCATGACAGTGATAGACGGTGATTGTCTCATGTTTTCACTTAGCTGATACATTGGGCTTTTTCTTCACATCAATCACAGCAAGGATCCTAGCAACGACAGCCTGTGCAGTGGAGTCCAAGCAAGACAGTCCACGCTTGTAATCAGAGGCTGCCTCCAGCTTGTTGAGTACAACCTGTTCTTCCACCAGATTCCCGTCTCCATCAAGCCAAGCTTTTTCTTCAGAGGAGATCTCCTTGTTTTTGGCCAAACGAGCTATGAGATTCTTTCTTTTGAGTGCTGAGCTACGCTGGAGCTCCTCAAAGGTGGTTTTGAGCACTGAGAGAGACATAACCACGGCAGAAAATTTCTGGCAGCCCTTGATCAATGTCAAGTCCTGTCAGATTCTGTCAGTGATCCCATCAAAGTATGGGTTCTCAGCTCGTCTCAAGTTTGATTCTTGCCCAAAATGGATGGATTATGAGGTATCACAATGTTATGGGTTTTAATTGAGGGATATAGTAGGTGGGGGCCAAAAAGTATGGATTTTAACTGATTATGGATTATGTCGGCTATGGCTTATAACAGCTTCGACTGTACTGTACTATTACGACCATAGCTTCATGTCATCAGTCATCGGTAGTCATGAAGCGAAGCTAATTCCCTGTTGTCATCAGTCATCGAGGGCCTTGAAGCTGATGACATTTGGTTTTTTTTTAAATCAAAACTTGGCATTTTGAGTGGGATTTTTGAGTCTATTACATCGAAAAATAGCTCTACAGTTGTTTGCGGGTTTCGGGATTGAGCAAGATAAGAATATCATTCCAAAGAAAGCTAATTTTGTGTAAAGGACTGGAATCTCACCAAATACAGCATGGATACGGAGACACATTACTAATGACATCACTTTCTTACAATTTTATTGCAAATCTCATCATTATTTGTTGCAATTCCGTGGTGAGGTGGTGCCTGGTAACAATGGGTGCCGGGAACTGGCAACGACACCATGATCAAGCTATTTGACCACTGTCATCAGTCATTCCGGTCCGTGGAGCTGTGCTCTGATGAAGCTAAGCTGTCATTGGTCACCCTGGCTGAAGCTACGGTCGTAATAGTACAGTAAGTCTTGAGATGAAAACAAGCAGATCCTGATAGGTTTGGAGATCTTTTTGGACAATTTTTCAGGGCATAGTTACCCAAAAACTTTGATATTGAGATGATTACATCAGTATCACTGGGTCTTGCGCTGGACAGAATCCTTGGTTTGTCCCTAAATTTATTGAGACACACCTCAAACAAGTTGAGTTGTATAGAATTTCTACTTTTGGGGGATGGAAAGAGTTTCTCCAAGCCTGTTCAGCTATGAAAATGCCTTAAAATAATTTTGATGGTTCGAACCAGTTGGAACCAAGTTCGGCTTTTTTGGTCTCCCCCAAACCCCGAACCAAACCACGGTTCAGGTTCGGGCATTTGGTCGAACCTGAACCCTGAACCCGAGTTCAGTTCGGTTCAGTTTGGGTTCAAACCAATTTCCGAACTGAACCCTGAGAGCACTAGAAGGCGCCTCCAGGATGGCCTCCGATCAGGGGGTGGGGGGTGGTTTGATGGCCTCCGGAGGGGGCCTCGAAGCCATTTTACGTAATAATTAGAGGTCCCTGGGGTGGATTTGTCCCATATCCCAATACTTTCCTGCTTCGAATAATTGATTGAAAAACATTCGTAGCACCCGCCACATCGGCCAAGAATTTTTGGTTTGCTCATGAGATTGTACCTAGGACCCTTGCCCTTTGTTTGATGTAGCTAGGTGGAGTATTATTCATATTTATTGGTATGCTATCCATGAGGTTTCTTTAGGTGTCCCACATCCCGTCCCTCCACAGTAGTAAGTTTGTAGCCGCAGTATAATTAGCGCTCTCAGTGTAGTCGTAGTAGCACCCCCGATCATCTATCCAATTCCAAATCTACTGACAGTTGCTAGTTGTGCGCTGTATCGGTTCTGAATAAAGCGATGATGAGTAAGAGAAAACAGATATCGTGGCAGTGATGACTCGGATGACTGAGCATCGTCAGCTCCGGAGTCTTATTTAGACTTACGAGCATTGTAACGTTTGGCACCTTTCTTCCGGCCGATCCATGACTGAGCCCATTCTTTTCTTTGACATCCCGTCCTCGGTTCCTGGAGTTGCTTGGTCGCCGAACACCTGGATTACCAGGTACTTGACTCCCAATCAGTCGCGATCGCATAGATCGCTCTGAGCACCGACCTTCAGATATGCATTGAACTACAAGGGGCTCCCGTACAAGACCGTCTGGATCGAATACCCGGACATCGCAGACCACTGCCTGCGCATCGGCGCGGAGCCGTCGATGATCCGCAAGAACGGGAAACCCTACTACTCGCTGCCCACGATCCAGGACCCGAACACAGGCGCGGTCGTCTCCGATTCGTTCCGCATCGCCGTGTACCTGGACGCGACGTACGCGGACACGCCACGGCTCATCCCGCAGGGCACGCGCACGCTTCAGAAGACCTTCCGCTTCGCGTTCGACAAGATGACGGAGCCCGTGGTGCCGCTGATCCTACCCGGCGTCCCGGACATACTGTTCCCGCGCAGCCGGGAGTACTTCCGCCGGACCCGTGCGGAGTCGTTCGGGAAGCCCCTCGAGGAGCTGGTGCCGGAGGGGGAGGCGCGCGATGCGGCGTGGCAGTCGTTGCAGGAGAACTATGGCAAGTTCGCGGAGTGGCTCGATGAGGAGAGTGCCGGCCCTTACGTCATGGGTGACCAGTTGTCCTTTGGGGATCTGGTTGTTGCCGGGGAGCTCAAGTGGTATATGATAGGATGGGGAAAAGAGAGCGAGTTCTGGAAGGATCTCAAAACGTGGCACGCGGGGCGTTGGATCAAACTGCTTGAATCTGTCGCTCAATACGAGGGTCCGGTCGAGAGCCCCGTGAGCTAAATTGGAATAGAACACAGACGTAATACCGTGAGTTACAAGGGTAGCATCGTCACTTGGTTTTGCCATGCTCCTGGGAGACTAGTGAGTCTAAGCAGTCAACGCAACTCTAAGGACGCACTGGTTTATGGCTGATCTCGTGGTCAACGTGGACAAAAGCTTCACAGTGCATGAGCGATCAGTTAAATCAGGGAGAGAAATGAACTTGCCTCTTCCGACGTTCGGCAGCTGCTCGATCTTATCCTGCAGAGCCTGCGAAATGTCGTGAGACTTCCACAACGGTGTGTCCGCATCCATCACGATGTCCAGCTCGACAATGTAGTCCTGTCGCGTGCGTCAGATTGGCGGCGGGATGGGTTGTGCTGTGAGACATACAGGACCAGCGTGATAGACTTTGCAAGAGTCGATTTGCTTGATATCGTCCGCAAACATCATGGCCTTGTATATCACCAGTTGCTGGAACTCGATCGGAGCGGAGATGCCAGCAAGGAGAAGGAACTGTTTCCGGATCGTTGTGCCCCACAGTAAAATGAGAGCGACTAGAAGTTAATCAGGATTCGTGATGTGACTATAGCAGCACGACGAACTTGAGATGATCATCGCACCAGCGGGGTCAATCCACCAGCGGAGCTTGGCACCGGCAGAAGAAGTCAGCACACCAAAACCATTGATGAACAGGTCGTTCCGGCTGAAGGCACTCAGGTAAAGATCACAGACAGCGCAGGACAACTGACTGGTCTTCCCAGAGAACGCGGACTTGAGAGTTCTTGGAGCGGATCGAGTAGCAATATATGAAAAGTACGAGCTTTACGACTACGACGCGGGTCAGTATCACATGTCAACGAGAGAAAGCGACTGACAGAAAGATATGGCGACGACGATGACAGATGGGATGTGAAGCGCTCGGTCACTCGGTGCACCACGAGCCAGATCCTGAACCGAGAATGCCTGCAAACGCTGAGAAAGACAAATACGAGCCATAGGGCGAGGGCGTACGATGAGAATGGTGGAGACAGAGCCCATCGCACTGGCATACACTATGTCACCGATCGTTTCCAGCCTGCTTCCACCCTGCACAAATCAGCGAGCTAGAATACGCAGACTGGGATGTGGCGCACAGAAGGATATCTGTTCGGGTCCGCCGAGATGGCCTTCCGATGGCAGATGTGAAGAACGACATTCGCCATAGGGTCGCACACAGCATCTATAGCCGTCGCGAAAAACGACAGAGACAGCGAAGAAATAGCAGCATATATTTGGAGCACAGCCAGGACACTGCATCAAAGCTAAGAGAGAATGGGACTGATCCCTTGAAGACACTGACCAGTTCGCTGCGAGGGAGCCGTAGATGGCCACTTTAATCTGTTCACGTCGAATAAGAATCGAATAACGAGAGGAGAGCAGAGGACACAGACCGCCAATCGATTCGTCTCCTCTTCCGCCTGAGCGCTTTCGATATGCTCGTCCATGGTCATCAAAAGCGAAGCAATTTGCTTGTTCTGCTTCTCATAAAACTCTCCGACAACGACGCCCCCCTTCTTGTGTCTCTTGCGTTGGCGTAGATTCTTAATATGCTCTTCGCTTTGAAGACGGCTGGCCAGCAAGAGCGGATCCTTGTCAGTGTCGGAGCCATTCACAGTAGGAACACGGGAAAGCTCGATATCCCCATCGCCCGAGCTACTGCTAATGCCATCGTTCATCCTGATAAATCCGGGAGTGGGTGGTTGAAGATCAAGAGGGTATTTGTTGGAGCGGGGGACAGTGAGAGTGGTGCAGAAAGACGCAAAAGCTGTGCCAAGCCGATGGGAGCTCGTGACTCAGCGGAGGCCCACAGCTGAGAGTGGCATCCCTTCTGGTAAACGAGAATCGATGCGTCTGTGAGCGCCCAACAAGAAACTATGCATGAGAGCAGGGTATAAGTTAATTGAACCGGGCCGAGTCTCTGAATCAGCTATACCACTGTGCTGGGTTGAAAACATCACTGACCCGTTATCCTGGTTCGCTTGCCCTTGTTTGTTCAATTCGATCCCAGCCTCACTCTCGACCTTTGCGCGCGCTCAGATGGATCCTTTCGAAGTTCGGATGCTTTTTTTGGAGCTCCTGAGAAAACTTAACGCGTTCAGTCGTGCCCTTTTGCCCCACTTTCTTCCCTAATTGGCTCAATCAGTTCTCAGCAGTCAATATCTAAAGTTCGGAACTTCGCTATGAAATATTTCTCATCGTGCGGCGAAGATCTATGGGACTGTATTGTGGAGCAATGCGAAAGGGCGCGTTTTCGCGCGTTCATCGGCTGTCGCATTCTGACTCGGTCTGCAGGGCACCATTAACTCCCGAATCAACATCCTGCATTTCCTCGATTCCCTCTCCGAAACATGTCTGCTTGTCAAGTCGCATTCCAATCTGACCGGTTCTATGCCCGGGAATAATCTCTATATGGACTATCTCAGTCGAGATATAAGCAAGATCGTGGAATGCGTTGTGCCTGTCGGACGCGAGGGGTTGCCCAATCTTACGAGTGCGAAGCAGGTGTGTGTTTAGATCTAGAAGTTGGGTCGCCCGGTGATGTTCTCCAAGATCCTCGAAAACTGGCGAAACAAGAGGATTGTCGATCCCCAAACAGTGGATGACGTTCTTAATATGCTTGACCAGCGACCTCCACCATCAGAGCATCGCAAATCGTCTCATTCCTCTCTCGACGACACGGAAAAATTCAGGCGTATAGAGGAGGATCGGGAACGGCACAAGCGTCTTCGAGAGCGACGGTGGGTGCAACCGGTGTCACATCGCTCCGCTGCACAAATTGGTCTGTTGTCATTCCTGCCCCTGTCGAGCGAGAATGACGAGGATGTGTTGGCTGTGGACGTCGAGTTTGAAAACGATTGGGAAACCACGAGTGATTGGAACGAAGATGACGACGAAGCCGCCGCAGACGAGAGCGAACTGTGTTTTCCAGCAGAGGGCGAGGGCCCGATGGACCTTTCTTAGCTTATGCGCATTGTACAACGATCATTCTATCTGTATCTCTACATCACATCCACTCGTATCCGGGGTTTCCTACAATGTGTTTGCCCTGCTTTGACACGCTATGAGATCACAGCCACCGAATCGGTGACATCTTGCTCTCCGACACCCATTGACACCCAGAGTCCACCACCAGTTTCCGATCGCTCAAATGTCTCGGCCAATGAACGACGATGAAGTCCTCAACGAGATGAACAAGATGGTTGGTGGAACAATTATGTGCCAGTCGCTCCAGCTCCTGTTCAAATCGGACATACCACTGTTGCTACTGCGCATATCTGCATTGCCGAAGAACATCTCTGAAAGCCATATCCTAGGTCGCGTTCATTCGTCAGGAAGCCATGGAAAAGGCTCGTGAGATTCGAGTGAAGGCTGATGAGGAATTTGCAATTGAGAAGGTCCGCCATATCCCCTCAATTCCCTGATCCTCGCTTCACCAGGTATTGCAGGCCAAGCTGGTCAAGCAAGAGCAGCAGGCTATTGACACCCAATATGAGAAGAAACGCAAGGATGCAGAGGTCGCCCAGAAGATGTGCGTAATTTCTCGACCTTGACACATGTCGCCTTATACTCTTTCCAAGTGCACAATCCACACTGACAAACCGCTCCCGTCTCAAGCTCTTGCAGCAGCGCGAAGAGCATCTGCAGGATCTCTTATCTGGTGCTAGGGATGCCGTCGCAGCTCTCGCCAAGGACAACTCTCGCTACGTGCAATTCCTGGAAGGCGATATCGTCCAGAGCTTCCTCCGAGTCTACGAACCGGCTGCCACTGTCCACGTCCGTCGAGGCGATGTGGATATTGGTGAACAGGCCGCGGCCGCTGCTGCCAAGACCTACACCGAACTGAGTGGACGTGAGATCAAGTATACGGTCGAGGGTAGCTTGGCGGACGATAGGTAAGCAGGCAACTCCGCAAAGCTTTTTTTGTCCTCAAAGGTTCGTTACAGCGCCGGTGGTGTCAAGGTCGTCAGTGGTTCCAAGCGTATCACACTCGACAACACACTGGACGAGCGTCTGCGGCTGCTGGAGGACCGGGTCAGTGATTTTACTTCCGTATAGGGTTTCACTCGATGTAATCGCCATTTCAGATGCTCCCGGAGATCCGTCATGACCTCTTCGGTGCCAACCCTAACCGTAAATTCTACACATAAACTGTATGCGTGATCGCCCACAAATGCTCGAATCACGGACAGCTTGCCCGCTCATACCTTCACCCACATTATTTACCGCGTAGAGAAGTAATACATGCCTGTCCCAATAACCTCGCGTGTGATAATCAATGTGCAATCTTTGACACACCGCCACCATCTAACCCGAAAGTTTGCGGCTCCGGCCTGACTTGTTTCTCTACTTCGACCACGATGGCTGCACCAGATCCAGCCAACGTTCGCATTCTCACCACCCTGGGGCACGTCGATCATGGAAAAACCACTCTCATGGATGCTCTTCTGGCCGCAAATAACATCATCTCACCGCGGATGGCTGGAAAGATGCGTTACCTCGATAGTCGAGAAGACGAGCAAGAGAGAGGCATCACAATGGAGAGCAGCGCTGTTTCGCTTCGTTTCCAGGTCATGGACAAAGAAAGTGCGCCGCCGGCTTGTGGAGAGTGCGACAGACCCGAATGATCTTGACTAGGCAACAGCCCGAAGGTGTACGTCGTGAACATGACCGATACGCCGGGCCATGTCGATTTTTCGAGCGAGGTCTCTAGTGCCTCGCGTTTATGTGATGGGGCTCTGGTCCTCGTCGATGTCGTGGAAGGAGTGTGTACTCAAGTGCGCCGCAATCTGGATTGTCGGGCTTCATGGTCACTGACATGGATGTCCTTGGCCAGACGATCACCGTGCTTCGACAGGCGTGGTTGGATAGACTGCGGCCTATCCTTGTCATCAACAAGTTCGATCGGCTTGTGACAGAGCTCCAACTAGCCCCGGTCGAAGCATACCATCATCTCGCGCGGCTCATCGAACAGGTAAACGCAGTGATGGGTAAATTCTTCGAGGGAGACCGCATGGAGGATGACTTGCGCTGGAGAGAAGAGCGCGAACGCCGCATGACGGAGCGGAAAGAGGCCGAAGGAGATGATATCGACTCGGAACTTGACGAGGAGTTCCAAGAAAAGGACGACGAAGATATATACTTCGCACCAGAGCGGGGTAACGTCATCTTCGCGTCTGCAATTGACGGCTGGGGATTCAGGATAGGCAAATTTGCCCAGCTCTTCTCCCAAAAGCTGGGAATGAAGGAGGCAAACCTACGCAAAGTGTTATGGGGAGACTATTACATCGATCCGAAGACCAAGAAAGTCATCGGGCATAAACATCTAAAGGGCCGAGCACTGAAGCCTTTGTTTGTTCAATTCATCCTCGAAAACATCTGGGCTATCTACGATGCTGTCGTAATCCATCCGTGCGCTTGCCAAAATGCATATCCGATTGATAACTGAGATGAATGGATAGGAACAGCGAAAAGGTGCCCAAGATCGTCGGCGCTCTCAATCTCAAAATCCCACCGCGAGACTTGAAAACCAAGGACTCCAGGCACCTCCTCTCGCTCATCTTCTCGCAATGGCTTTCCCTTTCGACTTGCATAATTCAAACCGCCATCGACGTTGTCCCTCCTCCTGCTGTCGCTCAGGCGAGTCGGATGCCGAGGATACTATATCCCAATGTTTACGAAGCCAATATCAAACCCAAAAACAAGTTGGAAGAAGACCTCTTCGCTTCCCGAAACGGACCGGATGCTACTGTGGTCGCGTATGTCAGCAAGATGTTCTCGATCCCGGCCAGGGATTTGCCAGAGAACAGGAAGAAGCCGTTATCTGCCGATGAGATGCGAGCCAGAGCAAAGGCTGCAAAGGAGGCGCGACTTGCTACTGAAGGTGCAGACGGCCCAGTTACCGAGGAAGATGTTGCCCCTGCCGTGGCTGAGGAGGATGATACTGCAGAGGCTCTGCTTGGTTTTGCTCGGCTGTATTCGGGGGTGCTCTCCATTGGAATGGTGCTTTGTGCGGTGCTGCCCAAGTACAATGCTTCACTGGGACCAAGCCATCCTCTCAATGCCAAGCACGTGACATCCGTGACCGTCGAGGGCCTTTATGTTATGATGGGTCGAGAACTCACCGCTGTCGACACCGTTCAGCCCGGCAACATCTTTGCGATCAAAGGTCTAGAGGGGAAGGTGTTAAGGAGCGGGACACTCTGTGCTCCAAATGCTAATGGAGCTGGAACTACCACCAAGTCTTCACCCGACTTTGTCGTCAACTTGGGCAGCGTCAACCGAGCAGTGAGTCAAATGACGCAGTGGAGCTTGTGTATTGAAAAAGCTCCCAGGCGCCTCCTATCCTTCGGATTGCTTTGGAGCCAGCGAAACCCGCTGACATGCCGAGACTGATCGCTGGGATGAAGCTGCTGAGTCAAGCAGATCCTTGCGTGGAAACCTTCCAACAACCGACGGGAGAGTGGGTGATCTTGACAGCAGGCGAACTGCACTTCGAGGTTCGTCATCTGATGATGCCGTACATTGGAACTGACAAGTGTGTTTACAACAGCGATGCTTGAAAGACCTGAGAGAGCGCTTTGCACGAGTGGAGATCCATGCCTCGGAGCCTATTGTTCCCTTCCGGGAAACGGCAGTCAAGGGCATTGGTCAGCGACAGTCTGATGTACGCACTTAACTCATTCTCACCTCCGTCAGATATGGCAGCTCCCAAGACAGCCAACGCCGTCCGGGGTACCATGCACGGAAGCAGTTCACAGGGAATCGTGACTTTCACCATCAGAGCTAAGCCGCTCCCGCGGGTCGTGCTGGATTTTGTGCTTGAGAACGCCGTGACCTTGAAGGCCCTGCTGAATGAAGGAACAACCATTCAGAAACCCGAGCAGGACGATGATGATATCAACATCGATGGCGAAGTTGTGCGCGAGCCAGGCGTCAAGCCAGAACAATTTTGGGACGCTCTCCAGGAAAAATGCAAAGAAGCGGGCGGGGAGTGGGCAGGGATCACGGATCAGATCTGGTCGTTTGGACCTCATTATTCCGGGGGCTGCGTCCTTGTCGACTCCAGGCCTGGATCGTCGACCTCGTCTGTGATCTCACACCGCCCGATTCGCCTTTTTTTGACAGCACACTCAGGTTGAGACGTCGGCTCGAACGGAGCAAGGTCCCTGAAGCTGGTGCAGTGGAGAAAATCATCGGGGAATTCGATCACAATATCGAAACTGGTTTCCAGCTGGCAACTTTCCAAGGGCCGCTGTGCAATGAGCCGGTAGAGGGGCTCGCTTATTTCGTGGAGAGTGTCGAGATTGACCAGGAAAAGCTGTCGAAAGAGATCGGTACGCAGTCGCAGTCTGAGCCGGCTCGAGCGGAACTTGCTGATAGCGTATCCAGAACAAAATCGGACAGCGCAAGTGACGGGCTCAGTGATTTCCGCGTCCCGCGAAGCTTGTAGGAACGGACTGCTGGATTGGTCGCCGCGGTTGATGCTGGCGATGTACTCGTGTGATATCCAGGCTTCAGGTGAGCTTTATGATTGAGAAGCGAGCATCAGTATCTCACATGACTGTTTTCAGCGGAAGTTCTGGGTAAGGTTTATGGTGTCGTGGCCCAACGACGTGGTCGAATTGTTGCCGAAGAGATGAAGGAAGGAACTTCGTTTTTCCTGGTCTCGGCAGTATTACCCGTGGTGGAAAGTTTCGGAATCGCGTTTGGTTCGTGACTTCTATCCTCCCAGAGCTCCACTGATGAAATCTAGACATCCGCAAGCGCACTTCTGGAGCAGCGAGCCCTCAACTCATCTTTAGCGGGTATGTCTTGGACATACATTCTATTTTAATGGGCTTGACGTGGCAAATCAGATATGAGCTGTTGGATCAAGATCCGTTCTGGGTACCAACAACAGAAGAAGAGCTCGAAGACCTGGGAGAAAAGGCGGATCGCTCGAATATCGCCAAGGGCTACATGGACGCCGTCAGAGAACGGAAAGGCCTCTTCGTCGATCGAAAGATCGTCGAGTTTGCGGAGAAACAGAGAACTTTAAAGCGTTGATATGTATCAAAAACTTGAGCATTAGTCTTGTCACACTGGGCATCGTCGGGAATGTGGGAGCGCCTTGGCCGCTAGATCCGCGGTTTAGCAAGCAGCTCTCTCGGTTCGGGCCATCTGGCCAGGGACAGGGCCAGCAAGAGCAGTGCATGGAACGGGTTACAGTGTCCCTTGAGCATGCTGGTGTCTGACGCCGATGCATACCGTGTAGTTGGCAGGCATAGAATCACTGAATGTCCGAGAGAGGGTGTTTCCCGACCACCCGACACGCTGATGAACAACACCTCGCGATCTTGGTGTGTTTGATCCTGCGCATGCGGATGACAGCGAGACGTGAATCAAGTCCGGTGTGATTGAGGGATGAATGGAGCCCGATTTGAGAGCCAAAATGGCGAGCGAGCAAAGTTTAGGCTTGCAATTCAGACGATTCAGCCATCTTCGTGAAGCTGAGAGCTTGATTGATGGGTGATATTACCTAAGAACGCAGTGCCATATCTCTGGTTTGGCATCCACCTCCTGTAGCGCCTGCGCCGTTTGCTCTTCTCCCATCGTGCATGGCTGCTGTGGCCGCGCCCATGTATAGCAGCCACAATAATGCATTCTTTTCTTCGTCCAGCAGGACCAACTCTTCGACACTGATGGCGAGCCATTCGTCTCAAGGTATGTGGATCATGACTACGGGCATGTGGGAGACCCCAGCTCACTACCCTACCCTCCCAACAGCCAACTCCGCTGCATCCTCCATGGACATGGAGCCCATGATTGAAGAAGAGCAGTTTACCACCTTGTTTTGTCGGGCACTCTACGACTACGATGCTCAGGACGCATCGGCACTCTCCTTTCGGCAGAACGACATCATCGAGGTTCTCACTCAGCAGCCGTCCGGGTGGTGGGACGGCCTCCTCGGAGACGAACGCGGGTGGTTCCCGTCCAACTATGTCACTGTCATTTCAGATGAGGAGGCAGAGATGGCGTTTTCGAGTCCCGAAATTCCGCATCCGGAACGGTCGGCAGCGGACACCAAGCACAATGCGGACACGAGCTCCGTTTTGGACATGTCGCATGCGATGATGCGGGGCACCGGGATGGAGAACGAGGAATGGCTGGAATCTGAGATGGGCGGGATGCAGGGCGGGGGGATGGACGAGCTTGCCAATTCGACAATGGCGGGTCCACTGGAGTCGAGCGACTTTTGGATGCCCGAGGTTACGTCCGATGGGCAGGTATGTGGGCTGTCCATCACCGTGCGATTCGCGGTGCTTATTGTGTGTGTGTGCGTGTCGTCAGATCTACTACGTGAACACGAAGACCGGCCAACATGCCCGGGACTTGCCCAACGAGAGCGACGGAGATACGTCGGACAGTGACTTCAATGGCCTCGGTTCCCAGTCGAGCTCTCGATCAGGGACTGGGCTCGGGTATTCCAACGGCTATAATGCCAGCGGAAGTGCAGCGGGTTTCGGGCTCCTGCGACGCACCGGAACGCCTGAACCATGGGTCAAGAAACTGGCCGACGATGGGATGTCCTACTACTACTACAATCCGACGGATGGCTCTACGCAATGGACTCGACCAGAATCCAGGGAAACCGCCCACACTCGTGACCGCAGTGTCCCATCAACCAACCGAACGGTGGCTGCCAGCACTTCCAACGGAAGTCTTGCACCGGCCATCCGCCCACTTCCTTCGACCTCTGACCTCACTCCTCCTAAATCATCGCGGCTGAGCGTGTATTCCGATGACTCAGACATCCAGCCCTCAATGGATATTGGCCGATCGCGCCAATACACGCAAAAGGCGATCGTGCGACCAACAGTGGATGTGAAGATGGAGCTGACCTCGGCTGAGCGGATAGCACAAACGCTGCAGCAGGCGCTGGCACCCCCACCACCAGAAATCGTTACAGATCTGTCCGCCATCGCCAGAAGCGCGATTCAATCTGTTGTTGAGAACCTGGAGAGCCCCGGTGTTGGTCGCCGTGTCAGCGACGATCGCGTGATGGATGGCATGGTCTCGAGCGTTGTCTTCGCTGTTCGTAATCTGCTATACGTGTCGGCGGCGTCACCGGGGCAGATCCCAAACCATCTGCTCCCCCGCAGTCTACGCAACACCGAGGCGCAGACCAGTTCTTCACCGCTGAAGCCCGCGCAACGGCGGGTGACGGCCACTCTTTCCCGGCTGGTCCTTTCCGCTCGGGCGTTGGAATATGACGCGGGTTCGACTGCTGCGGATACGCTTGATCGCATCCAGGTCGATGCCGAGGAGCTGGAGCGAGCCGTTCTGTCGTTCGTGCTGGAAGTCCAACGACTGGAGCACTCGCGCACTGATCTCAAGCCGCCGAAGCGCCTCGAAGCAGTGTTCATGACCGCTAACATCGGGCTCGGACTTCTGGGCGCCGGCGCTGCAGCGAGCTGGAAAGGCATGGGTTGGGTCTCCCTCGATGAGAAAGACGCGCCCAAAGAGACCCTGACCATGGATGTGGTTAGCGAGCTTGCTGCCAGGGCCCAAGAGCTCAATCGGTCTTTCGTCAGTCTCGAGCAGGTTGTACAAGCCCGCGGGGACGACTGCGGTAAGTGACTGCGTTTCAGCCCTGTGTGCTGGGTGATGCTTACTGAGCATCTGCAGTGGATGTCATTCGAGAACAGACGCGACTCTTCGTCGCCCGCATGTCCTCTTGGCTCCAATTTGCGGCCGACATTCACGTCGCACGACATGTGGACATCGACGGTATCCGGCAGGACACAGGTTCCACTGGACCGAATGAAATGTACATGCAGACTGTGGAACGGGCGAGATCGCTGATCCGGACACTGGAACACGCGCTGCAATCCCTGTACGACGACTCGGCATCGATCCTCGTCACAACGTTGGGTTTGAGACAGCTGGATCCCGGCGTATCGCCGCAGACTCTGGACGCAAATTTTGAGCTTCTGCTGGCACTCGGCACTGCGGCCAAGGCGAACATGGAAGCCGCCAACCGGACATTCGAGGGTCTGCTCTCGATCGGGCACGAGCAAGCCGACATTGCTCAAGGAGACTACAACGGCTCGATTGATTGGCGCATGTCGCGGCTGAGTGTTATTGATACGCAGCTGGGAGGTGCTATGCGTCCCTTGTCAGCCTTCGATCCTGAAGTGCATGGCGATCTGGTCGATCTAGCAGCAGCACTCGCGCGCCCTCCTGTCAAGAACCATGTGACGAACCCCTCCTATGATTCTCTGCGGCCTCAGTCGAACGCGACTTCGACGCTCAACGGCAGCCGGGACTATGACCAGTCGATGGATTCGACCATCGGGCCGGATGACGACGATTTACTGGACGGAAGCCCCAACTACGACGACGAATGTAAGTGTCTGCAGATTTCGTGCCCGTCACGCCAGCTCACTCACGTGCACTCCAGTCGAAGCCAAAGCCAAATCTCCGCCGCGGTCAGGGAAGAACAAGCTCACACAAATGCTTGGTCCCGACTTCCTCCGGGCAGGACCACCGCAACCGCCAACGCCTGAACCTGAAGAGCGCCCTCCTCGTCCATGGTATCTGCAGGCGTCATATAGCCCAACAGACATCAGCATCGATCAAGATGGTGCTGTCCGTGCGGGCACCATATCTGCTCTCGTTGAGCGTTTGACAGCCCACGAGCAAGCCGGTGCGTTCATCAGCCACCGGCGCCCATATCTCGCTGATCGATCTCATTAGATCCGACGTTTATCAAATCGTTCTTGATGACCTTCAAATCATTCACTACTGTCGACGAGCTCTTTGACCTCCTCGTGCAGCGCTTCCGCATCCAGCCTCCTGCAAATCTGACGCCGGGTGAGCGCGAAGAATGGGGGAAATTGAAACAGCATGTGATCCAAATCCGGTGCGTTTTTTGTCCCCATCGCTTTCCCTCGCCGACTGAACGAACTGTTCGCTAGAGTTCTGAACATTTTCAAGTCGATGGTCATAGACGATGACGTTCTGGACAAGGATGATCTGTTCATTTTGGACAGGATGAAGGATTTCCTGTCTTCGGATGAGCTCGCCAAGTTCCCTGCGGCTAAACAGCTGTTGAACAACATCGAACGAGTTGAGACCCATCTGGACTTGTGTTTTGGTTTCTGAGGCTGATGGACTTGTGCAGCAGAAGGGTGGCGACAGCAAGATGCGGATGGTTACAGCACCCCAGGGCACCCCGCCACCGCCACTGGTGCCCAAGACAAGCAAGAAACTGAAGCTACTCGATATCGAGCCTCTGGAGCTTGCCCGGCAGCTGACTATCATGGAAAGCCAGCTGTACCAGCGGATCCGACCCATGGAATGTCTGCAGCGTGCCCGAGAACAGCGGACCGAGGACAACATGGACAACATCACCACCGTCATCCAAACAAGCAACAAGGTGCGCTGTGGCGGTGTTTTATTTGCTGAATGTCAACTTAGTTGGCTCGCAGATCGCTCTCTGGGTAGCCGAATCGGTTCTCAGCAAGGAAGATTCTCGTCGCAGAGCAAATGCAGTGAAACATTTGATCAGTGTTGCCGACGTGCGTTCATTCCGGCTCTCGCCGGCTGTTAACTCTGACTAATTGAATGAACAGCGATGCCGAGCTCTGAACAACTTTTCGACGATGGCTGCCATTACCGCCGGGCTGAATGCGCCTCCGATCCGACGGCTCAAAAGAACGTGGGAACAAGTGAACCAACGATACATGTCCCAATTCGGGGCTTGTGAGATGACAATAGACAGCGGAAAAAACTTCACCAAGTACCGGTCTGTGATGACCCACGTCATTCCGCCCTGCGTGCCATTCATCGGTGCGTCTTGCCCTGTCTGTGCGGACTCTCTACCGAGTGCTCACGTGTTCTACCCAGGTGTCTTCTTGACCACGCTGCAGTTCATACAGGACGGAAACCCGGACAACGTCCCGGGGCCAGCCGGACCGGAAAACGCGCCGCCGACGACACTGGTCAACTTCCGCAAGCGACAAAAGGCGTCGGAGGTGATCAACGACATCAAGCGGTGGCAGGTGCCGTTCAATTTCCACGTGATCCCGTCGATCCAGGCGTACATCGAGGAGTCGCTCAATGCGGTCAGCGATACGAAGGAGTCGAGTGAGCGGTTCTGGGCGATTAGTCTGGAGCGCGAACCACGTGAGCGGGAAGACGAGAAAATGGCTCGGCTGTTGCAAGAGAGCGGGTTCTTGTAGCCTCCCACATGCTGATCTGTGTATTAATCGTAATTATTATTGCTACTGTACTACCATTCACCGGATTTTTTGTATCTTTGCTGCTGATCCAGAGCTTAATCGCAGAATAGAAGATAACGACAACGAGGACGTCTATATAGAAACATACACCGCTGACTACTGCTTGGTAGGACTACGACAGCTTCTCCAGTCGCGGGTCGAGTCGCGGTCGTCCCTCTGGCGAAGGCGAAATATCCAGCACGGCGAACGTGCCCTTGCTCACGAAGGACGGATTCAGCGCCATGGTCCCATGCACAGGCTGGACAAACCCAGTCAGCTCCATCCAAACTCAGTCGAGCGCCCTTCTCCTCACCTTGGCGAACTGCCGCAATCGGCTGGGGACAATGAGCACATCCGGTGAATGCTCAGGCCCCTCGTTCCAAGGGCGCAGCTTCAGACCATCAGCATGCGTGATGTCCAGCGTGATCTCCTCCGACAGTTCTTGCGGCACAGGGAAAACGGGGGTAGAACCTTTGCACGCGACAGGTCAGACACGTGCGACGCTCCGATCTGGAGCACGACTTACGACCGCTGCTGGAGAATCTGGCGGGACAGATTTCCCATGGAGTCCGTGCCCAAGTCTTCCGGCAAGATCGGCGGCACCGAGTCCACTTCGCCGCCGCGTTTCACGAACTCGCCCTTCTTGATGTGGAAGAGTACATCTTCGCTGGTCGCCGCGAACGACACGCCGTCGAGCGAGAACCACGCCGGGTTTGACACAAGGTGTATCCGCTAGTCGTGAGCATGAGCGAGGGCGATGCATCCCCGGTCGGCGGAAACTCAATCACCGTATCGTTCCGGGCCGTTCCCGCGTCCAGCTCGCACTGGGGATAGACCGCGTGGCTGCTGATCAGATCTCGCACGCTAGGCACAACGACGGCCATGCTCCCAGGGACGGAGTCCAGGTACGCCCTCAGCGGATCCGCAAATCGGGTCCGGAACAGATTCAGTGGCGTGCTGTCGGAGTCCCCCGATTGAATCAGAGGGTGCATGGCGTCTATGAAGGGACCCAGCTGAGAGAACGTCACGAAGGAGGCACCCTGAAAAGGGGACAGCCCACGCACCAGGATCACCACGTCGGGTTTGGTCTCTTGGATCTTTTTCAACATGGGCCCGCGCCATGGCCTGAACCCAAGATCCTGGTCACTGGTGTACGGTCCGCTGGCAATCAGAACCGAGAACGGGTTTTCCAGCTTCACAGGATCATCGGTAGGTGGTGGACAGGGCAGCTTCAATAAAAAGTCAGAACCTTGAGTATCGAGGCAGGCACGGTGAAACGCACGAGAAGGATCTCCGAGACCTGAAAGTACCCGCCTCCACCGTTCTTGCCCCGCAGGCATGCGAAGGCGCCGGGAAACAGCGACGCACTCCCGCTGCCCTGTGCTCCTCCGCGGATCTTGAGATCCCAGTCGAAGCGCAGCGGTACTCGCTTCCCGTACCCCAGCGCATGGGAGCACTGCAACGCCACCGCGTTGTCCGCGAGCTTGGACGTGTCCTCCACAAGCTCGTCGTCGTGCACGATCCGCCCAACCACTGTGATCTCATCCTTGAAGAAGATAGTCAGCGTGAGTGGGAAGCGAGAGGAAACGGCGCGGGATCATACACTGGTCGAGGCCGACGGGTCACCCAATTCGCTGATATCGAAATGATCCCGGACACGCTCCGCGAACTCGTCGATCGTCGCGTCCAGGGCTTTCGAACGTGTCAGGTTCGGGTAAGCAGAGCAGGCGAAGTGTTCACGCACCGTCACCGCGTTCGGCGAGTTTCATGTGCATGTAACGATCTGGGGCGCGTCAGCACGCGCAGGAGGGGAGTACCCGCAGCCAGGCAATCAGTTACGCACACGCGCGTTGCTTCTTGGCCTCCGGCGTATCCGCGTCTCCCTCAAACCGCACCCTGCTCGGCCCCGCAAAGGAGGCCTCCACCGCCTCCGTCTTGACCACCGGCGCGCGATTCATCAGCATCCGCCCCGTGCCGCGCCGCACGATCTGGGGTGTCGGCCTCGCCACGGGCACCCGGGCAGTGCGTTCGCTTTGAATTGTGGATCTCAGCGTGAGGAGGGATTCGAGCGTGTACGATGAGATGGCCGAGCGCGTGGTGGACGGCCGGAAGTTCTGGGCCTCCCACTTGAATCTGAGGTCTTCTGGAGATATACCGTAGTTCTTGCATACTGCCATGCCTGCGAGTCCTATGTCAGCGTGCGGTGAAGCTAGCCCGCGCACAAAGCCCGCGTACATTCTTTGAGGAGCGCGTCCTCTGTCGAAAAATCGGGGAATTCGGCGAGGACCTGATCTTTCAGCTGTGATTCGGACATATTGTCGCGTGTCTGGAGTAAAGACGCGTCTCTTTCCTACAGTCTGCGCGTGTGGGGTTGTAGAACGGGGTCAAGCAAGGAGTGATGGCACGTGATAACGAACTAAAATTCACACCTGTTAGCATGTCTTGATTGCCAGAGTAGTATGTATGTACTATTTGTTACATATTTTTGTTGCAATGATACAAATCGTATCGCTTTCAAGTTTGAGCGGCAAGTTCCCTGAACTCATTGCCCATTGAGCGTTCTTCTTGAGATCCTCTACGAAGAGATCGAAGCGAGGCGAAACACCTGCACCGATCTTGCTGAGAGCAGCAACAGCACGCAGAGCGCTACGTTGGAGTTCAGCAGCACGCTCGAGGTCTTGTTTTACGGTGTCCTTGGTAACTGTTGCTCCCTTCATCGTCTTCTCCAGTTCTGGGGTCGCTTCCTCCAGTTTCTGGGCCACGGCGGCTGGTGCGACCTGCGAGAGCCGGAAAAGCATCATGTGGCAGATGACCTTGATCTCATCCGAAGCATCAGCCAACCCAGGGAGCACGCGTCCGAGGAACGTGGGCAGCTCGAGCTTGGACAAGCATGTATCAAGCTGCAGCAACGTTGGTCACCGACTTGGCTATGCAACGACGAACGCACCAGGGTGTACATCGTCTCGTAAGCTGTCTTACGCGCATCCAACCCATCGTCCACTTTGTGGGTCCACGGTCCCATCTGGACCGTGCGGATGAGATCAGGTTTGATGACGGTTTCCTGATAGAGTCCAGGCAACAGAGTCGGCAGATGCTCCCGAATGAGGTGGGGTTTGGTTCGTGCAGCAGAATTGAGTGTAGACAGAGCCAGCCGGCGAACGGTCTGTGACATACACTCAGTCGGACATACAAAAATGTTGACACAGCATACCAGGTCCTGATCGAGCATCAATCCCAAAAAGTCAACCAGAATCGGGGCGATGAGTTCGTCATAGGAGGCCGAAGAATCTGCAAAGGTATATCGGATGGCAGAGACGACAGTGGCCCGGGCTGAAGCATCTGGGTCCGACACACGAGCCTGGGGCACATCATCAAATCACTGTTGTCCGCGGAAACAATGAAAGCACAACATGTAATTGGGGAATACCTTGCCGGGTGTGTCGTGGCCAACTTACCAAGACATGCCGCAGGACGTTCCTCGTGTCTCCTCAGAGTTCTCCGAGTTCTCGAACAACGGGACCCAGAGCATGTCCGCTGCGCCTTCGAGCTGCCCATGGGAACAGTGGGTTACGACCTCTTTCAACGCATGCAACGCAAGCAACCGTTTCTTCGGGTCCGTCTTGACGATGTTGACAATGGCAGGGAGGAACTGCTGCAAATTTCCAATCGCGATGTTGCCGGCAGCGAAGGCGGCAGCCGATCTGATCTCCTCCTGCTCAGCAGAAAACCTTTCGATCGAGTCCCTGAAAATCTCTTGTTGGTTGGACATGTCACTGGAGATTGTGATTCAGCATCGAATATGCAACCTATACAAAAGCGATTCGGCACTGACATGAATCGCCCCAGTTCTCCAAGGATGAGCAAGCTAAGGACCATGGTTGAGGCTTTGGCCTTGGACGATGCCTGTGACTTTTGAGCAAACCGATCGTAGAGTGATACTGACAGCGCGGACCTTGATGTTCTTCGCGTACTGGGCGATTGTCCCTGCAGCAATCGATTGCTGGCTTTGCACGATCTGAGCGATGGACTTCGCAACATTGTTCGCGCTAGAATCGGTCTTGTTGGCCTTCTCGACTGCGATGACAAGGTTCGGTACAAGATGCGTCGCAATCTGGTTGTCAGCTTGTACTAATGCAGAGAAGAATCCGAGCATCGAGTCGAGCGTCACGCCAGAAACTAGGGGGGAGTGTGCAATAGCATAGACATCCGTCAACAAATCAGCCTCGACTTCCGGGAAAGTAGATTGAGGAGCGAGCTCGAGAAGTAGAGCCAGAAGAGAAAAGGCTTGAGAAAGTAGAGGGATGTCGCTCGTCTTCAGATAGTTCTTGATCTGGGGAACCAGGATAGAGGGCAGACCGGATGGAATTCCAGACGAGAAGCGTAAGTCTGCGAGGAGGACATCGAGACTCTGGAAGATTTCGGCCTTTCCAGCTCGTCCACCGCGTTTGAGCAGACCGATGGCCCAATCAACGCATCCGTTAACCCACTGATCTCCCATGGCTGAAGGGACTCTTCGCAACACGGGTGACGACCTTGACGGCACCATCTGACTTGGCACCTGGTCGACAGATAGCTTCCCATTCACGGTGGCCTCGGCCTTTGACAACGTCCGTCGCACAGACCCACAGGTCTCCGATCACGACTTCAGCAACGCACGCACTTCCGTATCTGTGTAGTGCGCAGTCAGCCGTGTGACAGCCTGGTCGTAGACAGCTTCAGGCCAGTCCTGGCCCGGCTTGATGGGCTTCACGGCATTCAGCAATGCAAGAGCAACACCCGGAAGGTCTCGGAGGCAAGCAACTCGAGGGTGTCTCTCACCAGGACTTCGAAGCAAACCAGGCGTAATCGTCGGCAGAGTCGTCGCAAACGTGGGTGGAGAGGTTGTGGCGAAAAAATAGAGCCAAGAAAGACAGGCACGACAGATGCAGCGTGGACGTTGATGTGACGGCGGCTGGGACAAGATGCTCTGGGAAGTCGCAATGATCGCTGGGGACCTGACTTGAAAGCGAACCCGGAAGTACATCCAACAGCGCATGATAGCAGCGAAAATCCGGCCTGGAGAGTGGCAGGGGGGTCTTGGCAGATTTGAGCTGAGATAGCAGTGCCTTCGCCATATCCGGAACTTGTGTCTCAACAGCGAGTAAGGGCCTCTCGACATCCCGTGTCCTGATTGCGCTTCCGTTTCAAAGACGAATC